AGAAGCCACACAGCGCCCTACCTCAAGGAAGATTTGTCCTAGAGAGGGGCACATCTCCATAGTACAGAGGGTGAGAAGTTATAAAGGCATTTTAGAGAACATTTCTGATATTTACTCAAGAAACTTCATTTAAGTGTCTTTTCATTCCATGCAAATAATTTATTTATTCCTTGTTGGATATTTACTTAGAGCTAAAGATTGTTTTTAACGGTGTAAAGCGAAGAACCCTTGATGGCTCCCCCGCATACATAAATTTCATTGCAGGTGCAAGACATGACAATGGGGAAGTGTTGATACGTTAGCAATGATATTTATCCTGATGAGTACCATACTTCTTTAGTGTTGCTTGCTGTGGTTATTTAAGTAACCAGTATTGCTGAAACCAACCATTCTGTCTTGGTCTGTTAGTGGTGACACAGCAAGGATGGCTTTCAAGGAGATCTTCATCATTGTCGCTTTGGCTCATGTAGTTGGTGGTATTTGGGTGAGAAATTGCGGCGGTAAGTATCCACAGCCTACATTTATTTTATTTCAAATAAAAAAACCTACTGAAGGCTCAAAATCCTTAATCATTCATTCTCTTGTCCATCGCAAAAGAACTTTTTCAGTATGTCTAGAAGAGCCTGAGGAAAAGGGCTGTTGTTCATGGCGGTTTTGTAGATTAATTGTTTGTCTTTCGAAGTAAGAGTTAGGCTTATCAATCGTGTTATGATTGCGATGTTTCGATTGCTATACTGCTGGTTTTCGTCAGACGACGAGGTCTAAAGTTTACTTGTCGCTAATTATAACAAAAGAGAAAAATGGATGGCAGAATCTCATTTTTTGTGAGATAAATATGTTGACTTTTCCAAATTTAAAACCGAAAACCGGTAGTCACAGAATAATAATTTCATAAAAGCATTATGCTGTTTTACCTACATCATACAGCCCGAGTGGACATACCACCCACTTTCGAACCTATTTTATGTTTTTAAAGATTTCACAATTTTTGTCTATTTAAATCCTTGTTGTATTGATCACGATCATCTGAAATTTAACGAGCAGGGATATCGCAGTGGTGAGAGCGCTCGCCTCCAATCATTGTGGCCTAGGTTCGATTGCCGGACAAAAGTCACATGAGGGTTGGGTTTGTTGTTGGTCCTCGTCCTTGCTTTGAGGGTTTCTCTGGGTCCTCCAGTTTTCCTCCCTACCTCCACAAATACCAACATTCAAATTCCATTTGGACTTGGATACAGTAGACAAGAAAAGCCACCTAGTGGAATGTCCACTGCTAAATTTCCATTTATATATTTAATTCCCATTTCCATTCCCTAATATATTGAATAGTTTTTGTTTACTCTACCTCTTACGTAAAAAGGGGCTATCCAGCCTTATAAGTTGTCATTCAGTCCGAATGCTTTGAGAAGAAATGATAGAACACTTACCGTCAGAGGAAGAGTAAAAATTGCCAGATTTGTGCGTGGGTCATCATTCAGATACCGTGTTCAAATTATGAAGAAAGGGAGGAGACGGGACTTGTGCAGGCACTATTATCTTAGAAGATTTTGGTATGTTAAGCAATGAAACTTCCTGATTCTATCTTTTGCTGTTATTGAAGATTCCATTTACGGCCTTGACGCCAATGAGGTTGCCTCTTTAGAGACAGTCTCAATGGTGTAAACCAATAGCCGTAGAACGGCAGAGAATTTAGCCTCTAAGGCGTAAAATTGACAAATTTTAACCGTTAGTCGTGAAAAAAGTGAACTATAAAACTTGTCCTTCTACAACCTATCTTTTTATCATTTTTGATCAACTGTTAGTCGTAAAAGCCTAAAGAAAACTAGCAATTCTATTACAAGTACTGTACATTTCTAAAACCTTGTTGTTTTACTAACGATTGGAGTAAATATCATAATTTATGGATAAAAGTGTGGGACGTGAAATGCACGATCAGCGGTATCTATAAAAAGTACACAGTTACTCTCTATGGTAGTTAAGTCAAAATCTTCTCCGAGCTGTATCTGGGATATGAGTAATTGGACTTTAAATCAAATGATATGCTACAACTATGTACTGATGAGGGAGGCGCAAAGACCTCATGTTCAGTGCGCTGGACTGAGTCGAGAGGTTCAGGTCTTAGGCTAAAACTTTACTCTCTTGGTGCCTGTCTCCACCCAGGGATGTAAATGAGTAGCAGTGAATTGTCAGGGATGCCTAATGAAATGCTGGGGAGTAGGCTTACAATGGATAAGTTCCGGCTTCGTTGGAAACTAGGCCGGAGTACACTCATTTCTTTTTTTTACCTCGACTAATGACTTACTATGACTTAATACTAATTTTCCTTGAATTATTCTTGTCTGAAGCAATGGCAGGGTGAGATGCGCCGACATTGCGAAGGTTTTGAAAGGAGTAAAGTGTAGATACGGTTTACGGAGAGGAATGTACAATATTAATGCAGTACGTCGCCGTCTGCCTCGTGGCTTTCGTGTGCTGCTGAGACTCTTACCAAAGGTTAGGAAGTTAACATTAAACACTTTTACCATCGCTTTGATCAGGCCATACCGGAATGACTTTTTGCGTTTTTACAAAACAATCTATACACGACGGCAGACTGGGAGAACCTGTTACGCAAACCTGACAGATAAGAATTCTCCCAACTCTCGAGTTGGCTTTGTATAACAGACGAGTTTAAATACGGAAAAAGTCGTCTATAACTTTTATCAAATATTTTTAAACACAGATACGAATCTTAAACGTTTTAACCGCGTTTACATGCTCTCATCTATAGGCACATTTAGCAGTCAAAGTTTAGTGTAATAAAGTCAAACGTGTATTAGGCGGTCACTCAAAATGAATGCCGAGATAATCACTCCATACAGGTTAACAGCTTTAAGCAGGTTTGACCGAACTGTTGTGTAAAAGAAAAAGAAACCACACCCTTTTACCCTGTAATTGACCTCTTAATATACTAGAGCTCGCTCAAATATGCTGCTGATATGGATTTCGGGAGATGAACATGGAAAGAGGTCAGTACAAAAAGGCCGTTGATACTCAGAAAAGGGTGACCACAACCACTTAATGGAAGTGACCACTTAATAGAAATGAAAATCGCAGTAACTAAGGGACAAAAATCGAGACTTTGACAACTAACTACTAACAGGTTGGGCTAAAAATATGAAAAAATAATTACTAAATTCTGTTATTTCTTTGATTTTGCAGGGACTGTACAAGTTCAAAGCACTATTGTATCGTAGAAGAAAAATAGGATGCGTCAGAGGGGCAGTGAGAAAAATAAACTAAAAATGCTTCTTAAGATGATAGAAGTGACTGAAATAAAGTGAAATGTTAAGGGGACTTTGTATCTCATTGCTTGATTTACTAATATGACATAACCCCGAGCTTTGAACCTAATTGAGTGTTAATTTTTTACACTCTTTCGTATATGCTGTGTTAATAACGACTGGATGATTTTTGCCATTTTTATTTGTTCCTGAAACAGTTTTAAATCAGTTACATTGCTTTTGAATTTAATGCGAAAAACAATAACAACAAAATAATGAATATTCAAATAATCAACCTTTCTGCAGTAGGTTTTGATAAGAAAAACAGTGTCAGATAGCAACGTCTCACTGTGATTATGTAATGTAGGGCATTACCATGGACAAAGGGGCGTCGCCAGTATTTCAGAGAAAATTACGAAGGTCTTTTCAGCGAGAAAAGAGTCAGCACACGCAGTGAATACAGGAAACTCTCCACGGTCGACCACCTTAGTGCAGGCAGAAGTGTTTGTTGAGTCTCGCCCATTCTTTCTTAATTTTTACGGAACATGATATCAGTCGAAGCAAAAAACTTTCAATCCCTTCGTCACATGCTATGATTATTTTATCCATTTTCCTCTTTATAAAAAATTTCTGGTACATGAGTAATGCAAAGATTTTATCAGCTTCTTCGTATGGTAACTTATCTTAAACAGAAAGCAAAGAAAATAGACCTCGAAAATATTTGAGGTCGAGCAGTGGTCGCTTGATATAAGAGAGTTTTGAAACTATATTTGAATGAGAAGCTGAAAACGGTTATTTAAAGAGTGGTCGCTTGAGGGTAGTGGTCGTTCAAGAAAAAAAATCGTGCAATCACCTTTTACTTTTCGACTCTGTCCAAGTAAGAGAAATCGTCCATAGAATTTTGGAACGAGGCAAATTCATGGATGGTTGAGAGTCTCCACTCCCCATAATTTTCCCATGAATCATCTCATCAACTTTCTTTAACCCAAAGTTTCATCTGAAATCTCTATTGAAATACTTGAGACATTCTACCCGTAGACTGTTAGATTTGATATCTAGCTTCCTGTCGAAATGAAGAACAGTAGCTTCCTGTCGAAAAGAAAAACAGAAAGGAGGATATAGAATCTGCTGTTACGCCAAATCCTCACCGAACAACTCCCGGCAAGCAAAGAGCCTTCCGGCTAAATTTAGACCTGAAACAAAGGGAGGATATTTGCCACAGGTACCAGTTGCCCACGTTTTTAAGAAATAGGTAAAACTGAAAAAATACGAGAGGTAACTAAAAATCAAAATAGTTGTTTAGCGAAATAATTTAAAACGATGTTACTCGAAAGCTCTGAGTAGATTTGTTCTAGAAGGGATTAGTTAAAAGTTTAAGAGCCTCAACTTTATAAAAAAAATTGTCTTTTTTTAAATTTTCCTCTCAAAAATGGCTCTTTTTGGGTTAGTATGGTGAGGGTGCCTTATTCTTGGACGTAAGAGAATTCTTTGTTCGTCCTAAGTGTTGATTTGCATCAAAATATGCTTTAAAGGTGTGATTACATAGCAATCATGATGGTTCGCCCTCTAGTAAGAATTATGAAGAGCAAGTTTTCTCAGGTGGGATTCATAACAGAAAGCTGACAGCAATATTTGCTCTATGTAGTCGATACTTCTTTGTTATTCTTAAATTTTACGCCGCTGATCATTGCTATAAGTAGGACGTTAGGTTTTGGGAAATCATAACGTCTTGTTTTCCAAGTGAAAACACGATCAAAATGGCTATCAAAAAAATCTTTATTTTCATGGCATTGGCTTTTGCAGTTGATGCCTTTAAATGGAAACATTGCGGTAGGTTTGTAAAGTTTGTGTTTGTTTTTATTTTGCTTCTGTTTTTCTCTTTGATTTTCTCCTCAAGGTTCACGATCCTCGATCATCCTGGGTGTTTTAACACTCTCGCTGTTCTCAAAAAATTGAGAGAAAAGCCTTGATTCATAAGATAGAATACAATGTTGACGAAATATCTATCCAAAACCTATGGGTCTTGTAAAATTTCGAGCAATTTCAAAGTTCCTCCGGTGTCCTTTAATTTTCGACGATTGTGTTCGCTCTCAAAGTGGCGGATTTTATGAAAAACTATCTAGAAACTCTCGCGTTATTTTGAGTCACGCATTCTTGGAGAAATATAATTTTCTGTCAATATTGCGGGTTGGCAAAATTGATACAAAATCTCAGAGAACCACATATCTTAAAAACGTTGCTTTGAAATTCAAAGTCTTAAAAATAAATATGCACTTATATGGACAAGAGCTACATATGGAGGCCATATTAGAAACTACTTCTAGAATATTGCAGGAGTTGCCTAGACCTGGGAAGTCTCAAACTCTCGTATCGACCATTCGCCAACACTAGTTGGGCTGGCACTTAAGACTAAGGTCAATTATAAAGAAATGATGGCTCAACGATTCTGCTCTTAGATTTGACTAAACATACCTGAGCCATAACCTCTCTGATCAATTTTATTCTTATTCTGAGAAGAAAGCATGAGGATATTTAAGGAAAAAAAATGACGTTTTAGTCCACTTATTAAGTTTACAACAAAATATTTCCTTAAAGTTTCAGCCGTTGGCGGAAAATTGCGGGATTATCTGACAAATTTTAATATGTCCACGATATTTGGTTTTTTTTTCTCTTTTAGTTAAATCATGTGGGAGAAATTTTTTTCCTTTTTCGCGGTATAAACTCTGGATTGAATTTCAGCAGGTTTAAAAATTGTCTATCTAATTTTCTTTCGCCAATTTTTTTTCTTTCGTCATTTCGTGCAGCGGAGCAACTTCATTCAAAATCTTATTATTTGCATACATGGAGGCTTAATTTAACCAGCTGCGTTTGAGGATTTTCTTTATCTCACTGAGTTTTCATTTTACATGATAGAGGACAACTTGCCCTTAAGGGTGGATTCGTTAAGCCTCTCCCCGCATCCCCTGAGGCTCAGGAAAGGACAAAGAGTTACGTTAGGAGGAAAGTTTCGTGTTGGTGAAAACGCTGGAACAAACTACAAAGTTGATGCCTTAGTATGGAAAAAACTGCCAATAATCGGATGGGCCAAGGTCCCCTGTTTTGGGATGTGGTAGGTTTTTCAGTGAAGTTCGTCTTTTTTCTTTTTGCCTTTTTTCTTGTGGTGTTAACATGGGATCTTTTCCATATCATTGAATTGTGCTTGCCCTCGTTTTCAGACAGAGGTTATAGATCTTAATCTTGGAGATGGTCTAAAGACTTTTAAAACAGTGGATAATAGCGCAAATACATGAAAATCGATATCACATATCAACATTATTCTACCCTCTGTATCATGTGATAAAACCTAGGTCTTTTTTTTCCTTCCTCTCCCTTTTCATCATTAAATGCAAGTGGTCGATCAATTATTATATAAACTAAGGAACCAGTCATTTTTGTATCGCCGTGGGGGGAAGGGAGGGGTGGTGTGGGGGAAGAGGAATATTATAAAGCCTTATGGGTGTTCAGGTAAATTTTATTGAGGCACAATCAAACCCCTTTCCCCCCTCCCACTTAGGCGATGTGAAGTGACCTATTCCTTAATTGGCTCTCTTCTTTCTTTCTGAACTGTCGTTATCTGCAGCACCCATTCCATTCGATGTGAAAAGCTGGTGGACTTCTTGAAGGGGGCAAAATGCCCACTGGCGCCGGGAAGTTACGAGGTTAAACAGCAGACACACTCTATGCCTGACATTCCCATCCCATCGTTCTTAAAAAATGTAAGTTTACAAATATTCTATTCTATTGTTTTTGCTAGATTCGAAAATTAAGTCACGAGGCGTATTGTATCGTCTGCCACACCTGAAACAGAACGCATCCTAGTTCAAAATTACTTGATTTAATCTAGTTAATAACTTTTCACTGAAGTAGAGGTTAATAGTGGTGGATAAATAATATATAAATAATCAGGTACATATCTATCACTAGTCACCGACACTGAGGTGAAGAGTAGTTTTAGCATATGCTGAAACAGTGAGACAATGTCGCACAAAGGGATGATTTTAACTCATTAATTCCTGCAAAGATTACAATATTTTGGGGTGCAAATTCCTGGCGAGTTGCTCGAAGGTGAACAGTATACTGTTTTAATATACTCTAAATTCACCCAATTGTCACGAAACCAAAAATGGTCTTTGAATACAACTATCTTTTTTCTTCTCCAGGGAAGGTACAAAATTCAAGCAAAAGTGAGAGATGAAAACAGCAAAAAGCGCATTTCATGCCTGGAAATGGAATTGGAGACAAGAAGTTAAAAATAATTCCTGTCAGGAAATAAAGTGGATTGCATGAAATTTCATCTTAGCTTTGGCTGTTTTGTCAAACCTTAAATCAGCTGTTAAGATTGCAATAAAAATCTCACACGTAAGTCACTTGGAATCTCGTAAGTGCTCTTGTTAAGAATACAGGTAAGGAACCCTTCCATATTCCAAACTGCGTGAACAGTGCGAAACCTCTGGCGGATATTAGCATAAACACAAAATCGAAAGGGCCGTGGATTCTCCTAACCTAGGTTTCGGAAAATCCATTCCACAAGCCATCAATT